ATTTCCCACGCGATCGAGTCATTCACAAGGTAGGCCATCTTTCCTTTTGAATTTCAAAGGGTACATCCATCCTGTGGCATGTTCGCATATTGTAATTTTTCCCCTTTTTGCAAAAATAGTATGAAATATTTATGGTGGAGTGTAAAAAGAACTCTACTTGTTGTGCATTTTTAAAATGATTGAAAGCGAAAGGCAGCTAGCTGCCGGCTGTTGTAAAAAATCTCATAAATAGTGGTGGTTGGAAAAAAACAAGCTGTCTTAAAAAGTGAAACAACATTTATCGCGCTTTTTCGCCAAATTTAAGAGTGGGGTATAAAAGCAGGAACTTCATACTTTGTAGTTTGTGGACCTGAAGAATTAAGGTGGCTTACAAATACAAATACAAAGTTTAAGACAGTCTGCTACGAATGTCTACCGAAACTTCATTTATTTTCATAGACAAATAATGATAGTATATGACTCCTATTTCAATTTATAAAAATGCCATTACGTTACCCCCAATTAATTATTTATTTTTGACAGTATTCATAAATATTTGACTAATATAAGCAATTTTTCCCCCGCCAGGGTACCAAACAGCTCGAGTTTCCTCCGTAGCTGCCTCAACTTGTTGATTAATGGTTATTTTTCCAGCTATTTTTGCAAGCATTGCGTGAGCTGCTTCGATTCGAGTGAAAGTTGGCACGCGCCACCAGAACGCGGAGAAAGTGAGAGTGATAGAGTGATAAGGCGAGGGCAAAGGGCAGGACGTGGCAGTACGTGGCAGGAGCCGAAGCCGGAGCCGGAGTAACAACAGACAGTGGCACGCCTTGGCTGTCGGCCAAGTGCGCAACAGTTTAAAAAGTAGGCGTCAACCAGGAGGGCACGACATGTCAGGACACAAAAAAAAAAGTTAAATAAAAGACAGCAAAAAAAGAAGAGGAGGAAGCAAAGGATCCCAGGCAGACAGGCCACAGGACAAACTGTTGCTGCTTCCCCTTTGGCTTTAGCATATTTAATCGTGCGGAAGCAATCGATGGCCGTTAAATAGCGGCAATTTGCCCCTAATGACGTCATTACATGCAACAAGCAAACTGCCGCAGGACATCCCAGGCCATGAAGACGAAGGAGCAGGGCATTAGCCCTAACCACCGCCAGTCCGTTCATAAATCAATTCTCTAAACTTGGCCAAAACCGCACGCGACCTTTTTGTGAACTGGATAGCAAAAAAGAGCAAAGTTGAGTGTAGGCTGGAGGAATTTATCACTTGGCCAGCTTAATGGCTCTTGGCCCAAACAAAGGCGAATTACAAAGCGTTTAGCATGTTGTTCTTCCCACTTCTCTTTACTCTTTTTAACATTTCACTTGATCCCTCTTTTGTGGTTCAAAGAATGAAAGAAAGGCCAACTAAATGAAACGTTGATGGCCGGCCAAAGGTGAAGTTTGTTTTTTATGAAGTTACAAGACTAAAGTGGACTTTGATGAACTATAGCGTAAATTGAGTAAGAAGTGGCTAAAAAAAGAGGCTTACTAAGGGGTCTTTCATTTCTCAGAAATATTTACTAGAAATATACTTGGTCCAGAAGACAGAAAGGTCCTTTAAAGAGTTACACTAAAAAGCCTCATAAATCCCATTACAGGTTTAAGCCTCTTTACTGAATAATTATATTAGTTTAATTAAGCTCTTGTTGTGGTTTGTTATAATGTGTCAGTATTAACAAATAATGTCTATCAGTGGCTTTTAAATGAATTTAAAAGCAAAAAAAGTGGTTTTCCAAAAAAAAGATAATTAATTTTGAACTCTTCTTGAAATGTTAATTAAAGTCAAATAATTTCGCACATTTAAATCATTTATTAAGAGTTCTGCGAAAATTTTTCAATTAGCTTTCGTGACTTTCACCTTTGGCCCCAATTGGCTTTTGTTTAGCCAGTCCCCTCACACTCCCCTCCATCGCTTCCAAGGCAGCAAGGCAGTCTGGCAGCCCGATTCCTTGGCCAAATGTATGCAAATAGAAATGTCGCACATATTTCATAATTTTCATATTCTTCGCTCCGAAAAGCAATTTGCATTGCGAAACGAAATTGGTTGCCATTTCTGTTTATCATACATGGAAAATTGGGCTCCCAAAGTGAGAGAGAGAGTGTGTGTGTTTACATACATGAAATTGGAATTATGGTACAAATTAGCTTATTTGACATTTCAATGTGCAAATATTTGGAAAAGTGGCGACTCGAACGAGTGGCGGGACGAGTTTTCAAGGTGAGGATAAAGTCGCTACGCATTTTCCGCTCCGCTTTCACGTTATTTTCGTTTGATTGCAGCGCCAGTCAGGATTGATGGAGCTTTAAGGACCTGCGGTTGTCGAAGGACTTGAGTGGCTGGAATGTCGCCGGAGCGGGTATTTCATTTATCTGCAGCTGTCAGTTAATTTCCGTTCAAGTAGCCATTAAAACAATCATGACGCCGCTTAGGCTACGCACACATACACACGCACAAAAGGACTCACAAACACACACACTAAGGGAGCAGAGCCTGAGATACGCCATTTTTATGGGATGCCATTAACAGCTTGTTGTCGCAGCAGCCATTTAATAATAATAAAATGGTAAAAATCCAAGAGAAATAACTCAATTACACGGCCAGCCAGACGGATCCGGGCCGACTTGTCAACACTCTGCCCAGGCCCTTTCTGCCACAACGCCACCCCACCCCTCCTGGCTAATTATAGACTTCTCCGGCTTCATTGCCAGCTCCTCCCGTTTGATTATTAATATTGAATCCAATTAATCTTCCCCCATTTGGCTGCTAGGACGCCCAACACAACATGTGGCGCATGTCAAGTTATCATAAATGATTTCGACTTGCGGAAAGTTTGTCGTAAAAACTTTCTCCAACTTGCATCTGGGCCTGGGCATGTCTTCTGGGCCCCGGCTTGCCAAGTCAATTTGTTGGCAAGACTCTCGTTCTGAATTGCCGCAAATTTTCAGTGACAACAAACTACAACCAGCCAGTTAGTCAGTTAGACAACTTGGTCGTCTGGCAGAGTTTCTAATCCCTATTAGGCACTGCCTGATTAGGTGGAGTATTAACTTGGCTAATTACAGAATTGGTTTTCTTATGCCTGTTGAGTAAACTGGATTAGCTCTATGCTAATTGAGTTTATTTTAAAATTCAAATTTTGTTAAAAGTTTTTTTTATGATTTGTTGGTTTATTAAATTATTAGGGTTGGTTTCTTTTATATTATTCTTTGAACATTTAAGAAATTTAAGACACATTTAATTATTTTTTAATATTTGATTTACTTTAAGCACTCGTTACCGTTAAAACTCTACACTCTATGTATTTAACTCTACTTTTTAATTAAAAAACTAAGTTATTTGTTTGAATTTTCAACGTTACGATTTGAAATAAAAGCGCGGTTGAAGCGTGTTTGCGGCAGGATTCGGTACGCTCGCTTCGGCACAAGGATAAGGACTAAACCTCGGCTCCAAGGACCGAACTCTGCAAAAGGAAGTGGCGCAGGCTCGGAATGCGAAACGGAAATGCGAAAACTCACCACTGTGGTGAAATGAAATGGCGCCAAACAGCTGAGAAATGCCGGCACGGTATTCGGCGACTTTGTTTACAATTTTCCTCGACCGGAAAAATTGGGAGAGCGAGGGAGAGAGCAGGAAAACAGAATCAGAGAGCCCGAAGCTTACAGAGAGCAAAAAGCATCAAGTGACATTCTGTTAATTAAAAGCTTTCCATTAACAGAGACCCCAACAGGACTCAACAGAAATTCAAATCCTCGCTGTTAACCAAAAACTGCATAAATTAAATGCCAACATGTGAACCAAAAATTCAATTAAAACTTTGTATTGACAAATTAGTATGCGGAATGCTGGGAAAGCACTTTTGGCGGGAGAAACAAATAGACGACAGCTTAGCCAATCAGTGGAAAGGATAATGGGTGGGGGGTGAAACAAGGATATAAGGCATTTCAAGGCCAGGTAAGTGGCACGACCCTACCTGTTGGCTGCCTTATAAATCCTAGTCCCCAGGACCACGAGCAATTTAGCCTTTGGGCCAGGACCTCGTTCCCGGAACACGACCTGGCATCAATCATTCTCGAAGGCAACCATTTCATTTTGTGGGCGAGTCAATCTTGGAGCGCCGCCACCTCAACCAATTACCTAACCGCAGATGAAAAGCATGGGAAAGTGTTCTTACTTATATTTGGGGCAGGAGGACCATGGACGGGGGGCAACCTTTGTCTGTTTGCGCCGCAGATAAGACTTGCCCCAAACATTCCGGCCGTAAGTTATGCAGAGCGACGCACTCGAGCCTAACCCAACTGGAAATGGATCCGAATCCGGAGGAGCTGGTGCCGAGTTCATAAAATATTTATTTATGCGGATGCTGCGGCCTGAGCCTGATCTGGGGGCCCAAAGACTGATTGAAATGGCTCGGGGAAGCGCATGAACGAGTTCATTTGTGTGTCAGGACCTCGTCTGTCTTCTCATTTGTTAAACGTTTTGTGTGGCTTACGACGTCGTCATAGGTACATACACACATATGCCTATATATGCCTCATGTATCGTCCTGGATTTGCTCAATAATCAATCATAATGAATGGGCAGCCGGCAGGTGAGTCAGGTGGAGGTGGAGGTTAAGGTTCAGGTGGGGTAAGGTGGCTGAAAGATTGCCACACAGTCTCACACATGAAACACCATACAGGTAACCCTTAAAGTTCGACTTTGACGCACGGTGAGATTGAGGAAGTGCAAAGTTTTTGCGTTTCCTTAAACTTTGCCAAGTTTTACCCAACTCACCTTTTGACATATATATTTATTGCGGTTGCCTTTGTTTTTTAGCTATTAAAAGGGTCTAAAAACTTTCAACAAACTCATAAATGCATTGAACCTGAATTTTGAAACAAAAGCTATAACTTGTGCATTATTTTGTTAAATATTTTGACAAACGGGGCTTCAATCTACTCTTTACCTGCTAGAAGATACAAAAAAACGCATTCAGAAATTTGGTTTTACAGCAGCCTTCTCATTTTATTATTTAAAATGGAACACAGGTCCTTAAAACTGACCCATATGCAGGAAATCTTTGAATATTTAGGGCTCGCAGCGTCGGCATACGAAGATGCCGCACACCACGCCAATTCCAAAGGAAAGAATGTGGATCATTGTGAATTACTGAAAAATAATTAAGCCTCACTAAAGAAATCTCTCAAATACCAATAAAAATAAACGACTTACTCGAGTGTTTTTGGCAAGCAAAAATCCAACTATTCCACCGACAATAAATGTTATGAACCTCTGCATGACTTTTGGGAAATTTTCAAATCCGAAAACCAGGAATTTAGGCTGAGCTCCAAATAGAAGGTAGATTATGGAATGAATAACCTTTTTTTGGGCTTTCCGATAACTTAAATCATTAAGCCTACTTAGTTGAGGTTTCTACTTGTGTTTTATTTAATTTTTCCTTCATATAGACTAGTCGGTATGTACGGCTACTAAATAACCCACAAGAAAGCCAACGATGAGGGTCAGAGCCAAGTCCGAGTCTTTCTTTTGAGGATTCATGATTGGAGGAATGTATACGTGAATTAAAACTAATATGCACTGCGTCTGTGAACAATACTGTTTACAAAACAATAAAAGTTTGTAATTTTTTGTACAAACTTTTTCATAAAAAGGCTAACTAGATTTCAGATTCAGAAATTTTGGTAAACAAATATTTCACAAGAGTCTCCACAAAGTTCCAACTTCTTTGTTATAAAGACTAGGCTAAAGACTTTGCTATAAAGACTATAAAGGCATTAACCAAAACTATTTAATTCAAAACATCTTTAATGAAAAAACAATATCTTTTAGGCATATTTCTGTATTTATTATTTCATGTTAACTTTCGAAATTTTTCCAAAAAAACTAGGCTTATTAACGGCTCAGGTCAACATTTTCGGCAACTCATCATTCCAACTATGACACCCAGAGCGAAAGAGATCACGGGAGTCATTTTGCTTCCTGGCTCTTGATCCTGAAGGTCTTGCTTTAAATATTCAACTCTTTATAGGCTCAGCAGAGTGTGATAGTCAGATGTTGACCCTCACCAAGCTAAATAAATTTTAATAATATTTTCCAAATGCATTGCGATCCTTTCATTCCTAGCTTGTTTAGGAATTTTTGGCCAATAAATATCCAACCAAAAAGCCAACTAGAAACGTTATCACCCAGTCCAAATCCATGTTTAACAGTTGGGGGGTCAAGCTTGTAGTTCCAAGAAAATGTTTTGTCAGTGTGAACTTGGAAAATATGTATATTTGTGAGCGATTGCAAAGGGAAAGCCTACTTTGGAATATCCATTTTGAATTTTTTTTGACCAATTGCCACCTCAAGTCAACATCTCCGGCAAGACATCATTCCGATAATTACTCCCAAGGCAAAGGAGATTACGTGAGTCATTTTGCCCAATAGATTTTAATCCTGAAGAGACCCGTGATGATGATACCTAGATCTATATTTGATATGCCCTGGAGAGTGTGAGCAATATCCGGATGTTGACCTTAACCAAGCAGGGAAATTTTGAACAATATTTTCAAAGGTTTCTTTGGTTAATCCATTCCAAGACAAACTATGCGTTCATTGCTATTAAATACCCCACCAACATGCCAACTAGGAAGGTTATCACAAAGTCCATATCCATTTTCGTGAATGAGGAGTACAATTTTGTTCGGCTCCAACCAGAGAATCTTAACTTGAGTGATATAATAGCTATTGGTTGGCAAGTTAGGTTACAAAGCCTACTTCAATAGATGCATTGAATTGTTTACCTTATCGCTTTACTTGTGGTGTTTGCCAAATAAAAATCCAACCAGACAGCCCACAATGAAAGTCAGTGCGAAGAAGTTGTCCATTCTTAGCTTCTGGGTGGCTTGCTTTTGAAATTTTTCTCTATATCTTTGCCAAATAAGAAGACAAAAATAAAGAGCTGTGTTTGAAAATTACAAAAAATTATTTACAAATTTTAAAACGACATTTTAGTCAAGGAATTGTGATTGATATAGTTTGCTAACCTGCGACACTATTAACCCAAATAAGTAGGCAATGAAAATTTTTATTGAAAGCATGGACGAGGAATCGAAATGGTTTAGGACTTTTATCGTTAATTAAAGATTTTTTTCAAAGAAAAAGAAGTTTTGCTATAAAACAAGATTAATGTAGGAAAACAATTATTAAATTTTTTATGTGAATTTGAACTCTTCTTCCGCGAACTTTGAGCTGGCGGCCGTCCCAGAACTAGGGGACTAAAAACAATAGCCTTGAAAGTATTAACATAATATTAGTCAAACTTTCTGAAAAACAAACTACGTCTGTTTTCTTAAAAGTAGAGTTTGGGATTTACGTCAGATACTTGACTGATTGCCAAAAGCAATGTTATAGCTCCTAACACTAGTCCAAATTTTTCATTCGGCTAACAACATATTTCGGAACCTCTTTTTGTTGTAAAATTAAAATTTTTGTCGGGACTTTTGATCGTCTAGTCCAAATTGGAAGATTCCGTTGAAGGCAACCGTTTAAGATGTGCGATCAGCCGCCGACGTGCCCCCCACCGCCGCGATGCTGTCCGCCGCCACCGCCGCCGTGCAAGCCTCCGCCGACTCTGTGGCAGAAGCTGAACTGCGTTCCCTGCAACAGGTTCTTCTTCTTCCTGGTTGGAGCCGGGATCGGGCTCTATTGGGACAAGCTGAAGAAGGATGCGGAAAAGGCCCGCGAAGAGGCTAACAAGTCGCCCAAGGAGAAGGAGAAGGACCGCAAGGAGCGGGAGAAGCAGCAGAAGGAGAAGGAGAAGGCCGAGAAGGATAAGGCCGAAAAGGAGAAAAAAGAAAAGGAGAAGAAGGAGAAGGAGAGAAAGGATAAAGAGAAGAAGGAGGCCGCCGGCAAGAAGGACGGCAAGAAGGATGGCAAGGACGATAAGAAGAAATAAGGCACTACTACCAACTTTGATCTATGAGGCGCTCCAAAATCGCCGTAAGAACCGCCATGATGATGATGTCACGACTATTGTGTCCCTCCAACATGCAAAATTATCAGTTAAATTAATCGAAGACCCATATAGTGCTGTACCATGTTAGGAAAGTTCATAATACCCAATTCCTAGTGTTTCCCAACCCGATGACCCCCTCTCAAGGACGTGATGGCTCGGAAAAGTTCTACTACACGGAGTTCGAAGCTGCGTGAACTTAAATTCGAAACTGGGATGATATTCAATGATTATTAACCAAGGCTTTTAAATTTAAAAAATTACCAGTGAGCAGCAAAAATACAAAATATATATTCATATATATATTTATTGAAAACTTTGTGTGAATTAAATTACCGTTCCTTGGCTAGAGTTGATCCTGAACGACATCACTTTGAAGCACTTGACAAAGTCTATTTACTAATAAAATACAAAAAGATGGTATAAACGTGAAAATAAAGCCTTTTTTAAATTCAACAATTGGTAAACAAATACAGTTCCCTTTGCAGTGACAGCAGAGCAATCAAAAAATGTATCCTATTACGTTGATACCCGGTACTTATACAATAAAGAGGGTATATTGGAAGTACAGCTAGTAGAAGTACTGGGTATCTTTACTGGCATTAATGATAGAAAATATATCGTTAATAATTTAAATTCCCTTTTATTATTTTTTTTTGGTTACATTTTGAAATCCGGTTAACAATTGATTGAAAAAATTAGGGTACTCTTCGCATCTTGGTCTCAGAAACTAATTCCAAACAGTGGGTAGGCGGCTTGCCCCAAAAAAACGTTCCAATTGACAGCGGAAATCAAGTAAAATTTTTTAAAATGATCGAATGTCAAAGTACTCATAGAGAATACATCAATCGAAGAAGTCCATCCGGGCACGATAGTTCGATTGATAAATTACTCCATTGATGATTTTATCTACTGGAAAATTTTGGAATCCCTCAAATTCTTCGGTGGACAAAGTCATCGAACGGCATTCCTCCTAGTCGGGTCACTAGTCCTAGTCCCTTGCAACTTGCTCGACAGATGCATTATCAATGGATCAGAATGTAATCCAATCGATCGGTCCAACTGGGCTGAATTTTGGAACTCCGGCCGGGCCCTCCACTGCCAATCTACTTCTTCGCCTTGGCGTCCTTTTTATTCGGTGCGGCGTCCTTTTGGCTGTTCTTGTTGTTCACGAAGAACATCCCCAGTCCCACTCCAATGACGAAGAACAGGACCCGATTGCACGGCGTACAGTTGAACCTGGAGAGTAGTGATGGCATCGGGTGGCACACCCGCCGGGTCTCAGCTCGCTTGCAACAGGGCATGATTGTATCCAAGAATGCACTCCTCGTTCTTCAGAACTCGGCTCTGCCACGAATTTTAAAAGAATTTTGATTTCTAAACTAGGCTGAGTTAAAAAAGGGAAGGACGGAGAATTTTAGACAAGCCGAAGAATGATAGATCTGGTTGTAAGCTGAATGTATACTGAGGAATGTCATTTTCGGAGTTGACAGCTCCTTGAAATTCTTGGCTGGCCTACTAGGATTCGACCTATTTTGTCTAAGACTAAAAACATAATTAAGGAAAATGTAATAAAATTAGAATATACAATATGCGCACCTTAAGCTCGAGATGAACTAATTAGACTTAAATGATGATTGGCCTACTTCTTCTTGTCCTTGCCCTTCTTGGCATCCTCGGCCTCCTTGGGGAAGGTCTTGGCAAACCAGAGTCCAGCAAGTATACCGGCAAAAACCGAGGATATCCGTTCACACATTAAATGCATGTCGCTGCTTAACTCCGAAAGAATCTCAGTATAACCTCGATGGAACCCCGATGGAAAACAAGAATTTTGAAACAATTTTGAACTTTTTATTTCGAGCCTGGCAGTTGACCACCTGAACTGAAAACTGAATGGAATAAATGAAATGTGCCCGACAACCCAGTGTTTACACAAATTTCAAAGCCATCTATGTGGCGATTTCGGAAAACCATTCAAATTGTCGCAGTCCCCCATTCACCCAAGGCGGGGCCACTTAATTAACTGAAAGATTACAAAGACCAATTTAATTAGCGGGAATTACAACGCGTATCCCTCGGCTGTGAAAAAAGGCAGAATTAAAGCCCGATTCTACCACCAACAGGCAGCAGTTTGCCTGAATTCGTGAATACACATTTGTGTACTCGGGCATGTTATGGGGCAACAACAAAGGCTCCACATGTTGCAAGAAACATGATTTGGAAAAATGCGAAATCAGCGAGGGGCCACCCCCCTGGGAGGTTCGTCCTCAAAGAAAATAAAAGGCTCTGGCATGTTAAATAATACCAATTGAATTTATTTAGCGCCAAAAATTGTATTGTCATTCTTAAGAACTGAATCCTTTAAATGGATCAACTAAGTTAACTGTCCAGAATAAAAATTAACATCTTTGTCCGGTCCGTAAAGCTTTGGGGAGGGACTCCACTAGTAAAAAGAAGCTACTCCTTCCGTTCACCAAGATTGGAATTTTGAGAGTGCCTACTGGAAGATTTGGCTAGAAGTAGAAATTTTCGATCAGATGTTGCCAAACATACGTATCTAAGCAGCTAAATTGAGCAAAGTCCCCATCGCAAGTTCTTAAGAGAATACTCAGTTTAGCCTATTTGGTTTTCTTTTCCAGCTTCTTGCCTTTTTCAGCCTTGTCCTTGGCGGCCTTCGCGGCAGCATCGGCGTCGGGCACTTTACAAGGATAGGTTTTCGCGTACCACGCCCCGACCATTAGTCCGGCTGCTAGTGCTGATACACGATCGCAAAGGTTACGCATTGTAAAAATAGATTGGAAAAATAGACTAAACTGGTATAGAAACAGCCAATTTTGGACCGTGTAAGAATACTCAAAAGGGAAGAGATAGATTTTGAATGCACATTTGCACCGAAATTTCGAAAGACTGAATTCGAATAGCTTGCTTTGTGATTTTTTTAATTACGAATTTAAATTACCTTTGAATATGGAAGAACCTTTGCTGTTCTTGACAAGAGCTATGCCTGTTCTTGACAAGACCACATTGTTGCCAAGTGTCTTGAGCTTCCGACTTATTCTCACCACAGAGGGCCAAGTTTGTGCGGTTGTGTGTTTGTTTTCCGATGTCACTCAGAAGCAGTCAAAACCAAAGAGCAGCTGGGCCCTCTTTAAGACCCCTCCCCAATGCTCTTTTAGCGAAAATATATATGAAAAGTTTTGCAATAATACTGAATGGTAGGAATATACGCAGGTTTTTGGTTTAAAAGGTGTATAAGTAGGCTTTACACTCTAAAGTTTTGGGCTTTGAATTCTGAGAAGTGCAAAAGACCAAGGAAAATGTATCTAAATTCTTTGTTTTAGATACTTAAAGATGAGTTATAAGATTTAGAATATTTTAAGCGATATATATAGTTCTAAAATATAACATACATACATATATATTTAAGTTTAATATTTTTTAATATTAATATTCCCAAAAGTTCCCAAAAACAGTCATTGGTCATTGGTTTTTACCATAGACACCCCAAAGTGTAAAGTTCACATTCCTCTTTAAGAGAAACAATCTAAAACTACATTTATAAATATATTTATTTTATTTCATTTAATTTAAAGTTTAGAAATAGTGGATATTTTTCCTCTTAGTCCTCTAAGAACTCACCTGGGTATCTGGAGGGCTATCTCGTCCAGACTGTCCGAGGGACTCATGGGCGTGCGCTCGAAGAGGCGGGAGGGGGCCAGGGTCAGGTGGCCGGTGGAGTCGCTGACACATTTGAAGACCTTGGCCCCCCGCCGCTGGCGCTGCTGCTGGCGCTGCTGCTCCACCCGCTTCTTGCGCTTGTTCTCCTCGGCGCGCTGCAGGTTATGCAATCGAAAGAAGAACATTGACATTCTGCGGGTGGGAGTCGGTATTGTGGGGGTGGCGGATGTTATGACGAGTTGATTGCCGAAATAATTTTCAAATCCAATTTTTTCGTTTTAAGAATTCATTTTCCGTTCGTATGGCATGGTATTTTTGTGCACATTTCGTTTATTGTTGAGCAAAGTTTCGGTTTTCATTCATAAATTATTTTATTAATTTGATTAAAGCATTTCATGTTGTTTGGTTTCGGTTTGTTTGAGTTTCGATCGAGTTGTTATGGAGCGAATGGCAGAAGCACATCGGATTAAGGTTAAATGTGTGAACAGTTTGTTTGTGGAGGTGACTTGGTGGTGGAGGGAGCTTTCTGGACTACAAACAATGTAATTAATAAATAAAAACACGCTTACTGCAAATACTACAAAATTGGTCAAATAAATATTCAGGTTCAGGCCAATACGCATGCAAGATCTAGAGGTAAAAAATATGAAAATTAATCTGAACAGATCCGGGATTGGAAAAACCATCTAATGGCGAAACTAAATCAAGCAAAGTGACATACGCTCCAGGGCCCAAGCCAACTTCCGCAACATCAATCAAATTTGAAGTGAAATGGAATGCTGGCCTGGCCTGGCCCGGCCAGAGCTACACAAAAAAAATGGAAAAATAACGATGAAAACTTTACAACTGACTGTGAACAACAAACTGGCAACTGTCCGCAAATGCTGGGGAACACAGAGCTGGAAAGCTGAAATGCTCCTTCCATTCCGGAAATTGAAATATGAACCCCGTTTCGGGGGCGGCGGGATGTCCATTTCGAAAATGCCAAGGCACGGAAATGGCGGAAGTTCTGTGGTAAAGTCTGATTTCCAAGGAATTTAAGGCTGCATCTATATGTATATCCTTGCAGTGGGCTAGGGCCTAGGGGCAGGATAACTTTGAATAATTTTTCGTTGGCAAATTTTGTTTTGATTGATTGCTGATCAAACCGGCAATCAGCTGGTTGGGAAATACATATATACCGACTTGTGATTCCCTGTCATCAACTCGAGATTTCCGTTCAATTAGCAGGCGACTTTCGTCCTTAATGAGCTGGGAAGTGTGGGAAGAAGTCTCGAGCCTCGAGCTCACTCTCGGTGTCAAAAATAAATTAATCGACATTTGCATAAATTTGTTTTGGTCTGAAGGCATTGTCGCGTCGTCTGCCCCAATACTCCAAACCACTCTAAATGATTGCGTCCCGAAACTTAATTATAAAAGCCAGCAACAAAAAAGCGGAGGAGCAATGTAAATTTCGATGAACTGGAATGAAAACGACAACTTTGCATCGTCATTAGCTCGTCCTGGCAGACAGTTCGATGCGCCTAATTACACGGGTATTCAGTTTAAATGTGACTGGTGTTTTAAAGAAATTTTTGAAGTAAGACTTCCTTAAGATCTGTTCTTTAAACACACAAAAAATTAAATTGGAAATAAATGGCAAGACTAACTATCCCTCTGTCGGCGCAGCTGCAGGAATAATCCATTAGATTTGTTATTTCGCATTACGACATAGCTGCCGGCAAAATGACAGACCGGGGCAGGAAAATATATGAAAAGTGAATTCAAGTTTCCCCTCACAAATTACAGTCCATCATTTTGGGCTTTCGGCTGCAAATTGCAGTACAACCGTCATTAGTCCTAATGATGTTTTGGCACTGCCCATTTGGCAGACCACATGGAACTGAAAATTAAATATAAACTCAACAATTAATAATCCCCAACAGGCAGACATTTATTTTTGGGCCCACAATAGCCCAGTCTATGCCATTGTTGGGAAAATACCTTGACCAATTCAATTTCCACAACCTTTTAAAAAACACAGATCGTTTAAAGCGGATGATTAGTTTCTCTTCTGATGTCATGACACCTGCAGTTTGTTTGTTTTTCTTATTGACGTTCGGCCTGCCGGCGGAGTCAATGAAAACGAAAGGTAAGAGTGACTTCATGGAACTATATCTTTTATATGTTATTATTTTAAACATTATAAAGCCATGCTTTGCCATCAGTATGTTGTCGTAATGCGAGAGAAGACCATGTGCTATCCTCTCCAATCCATATGGGTTCTGAGAGATGGGAAATGCAAGGAGGGCCTCATGTGCGCCTCTGGATTGACGAAGAGCGAGTGCGAAAAATACTGCATAAAAAGGTCACCTGCGAAAACCACTAAAATTCAGCACTATAACACTATCGAACCAAATACCTGGAACCCTTTAGAGCATATGCACGGAATGGACATAACTCATAGACCGCGGAGAACTAGAAGAATTAGAACGACCCTAAAGCATAAATGTGGTTGGACCCCGAAGCCTCGACTCCATTCCAAACATTTAAAGCGAAATAAAGTATATTTTAAGACCTAAGATCCTCCTAATTATATTTATTTATTAAGCTTCATGGTCGTAAGTAACCCATAAGCTTTACCAAATTAGCAAATCATTTAAATAACATAAAATCCTTATCGAGCGAACGGCAGGCATCCTGTATCGAGTCACCCTCGAGAAAGTATTTTTATGTCCATTGAAAATCGTCGTAAAAAGCGAAGAGCTGGCGGAACAATACCCTGTGTGTTCCAGCGCCGAACAATGCCAATTCAGGAACCGAAAAAACGAAGGGAAAGCAATAATCATTAGGCCAACAAAGGACCCTCTCCTGGTGGAGGATTGGGGCTGGCCGCCAGCCTCTTCTATCGGGTTGAGTGCGTTGTCAAATGCTGACCAGGCACGGTATCCTGCCAGGACACAAACAAAAAAAAAACCAAAAAAAAAGATAGTCCTAAGCGAAATGCCAAAATAAACACTTGTCGCTGGTGAAACATGGAGTGGTTGAGGTGGTTCTTCCGTTTCGACCACAAAAGGGAATATTTTCCAGCTCAGCACGCGTTTAGGCGCTGGTGCGTGCCACATCGCTTGCCCCAAGCCCCCAACCCCGAAATACCAAAAGCCCGGAGACCATTAGCCATGTGAGTGCGAGAAACATAAAGAATTTTTATATATATAGCTATATTCTGCGGTGAGGGCGGCGGACAGACGGACGGCAGTCAGAGGGATGGCTCAATCTTTTCACGGTCCTGTCTCCTGGCGAGCTGCCTGGAATGACTTTTCCCTCCGCCCTGCTTTGTAATAAAAATGTAGACAATTTTTACGACACTGTACAGCGTACAACACAAGTGGACATTCCGCTTTTATTTCTTCATTAAAAAGCAGTATTGATTGCCCACCAGTTGGTGGGGCGGTGGGGGCGGCCCGCAGGACCTCTTCTATATCCATACTTTTATTATAGTTGGCACACACAAAGGGGCTTTGTCGGTGGCGTTATTGGGCTTTCTGCAGATCTGCCTGTATTTGATTTATCCGTATTGAAAATCACATCTTTTTCGTTTGGCTTTTCATATTTTAGTGCACTCCGGAGCAGGCTTAAAGGTAGCTTTGACGCTTCTAATAAAATGTGTATGTTGACATAAAGATTACCATTCAAATTGAAATTAAACCTTGATTTCATTTTCGTTAAGCCACGTTCGGAGAGTGATTACTGCTCGGTGCTTTGTTACCCAATGTCGGCCTAATGTGGAAGCAATTTTTCATCACCAGCTAACGACTCCCAGGAGCTCGATTAATAGCACCCTTTCTGGTAAATGATGGCCTAATTGGGCTGACCCAGAAGCCTATAAAATAGAGGCCAGGACATGCAGTCTATTAGTTTTCAAAATGCCTCTTCTTGGGGTGCATTACTACAGTTTCCTCACCTATCTGACCGGTCTAAACGGACTCAATACCTATTACTTTGTGGGTGAAAGCAATCGATTTAGGAATTCTACAAAACTAAAATTATACTGCTTTATGCATCACTTGCTCTGCGGCCTGGGCCTGGCTATCATGCTCAACTCCTCCTGGGGAAATGTTCGCATTTGTGTGACTCTCCTGACCATAGGGGCAACCTGCGTCTTTGCCATAAACAATTGCTGGGAAAAGACCCAAGGCATTCGGAAATTGGCCGAAGGATTAGTTCGATTGGAGACCAAGCACTTCGCAGGAAAACCAAGCGGCTTTGCCTTGAAGGTCCGATGCTACATGAAACAAGTGCTTGTAGTAGTTACCCTGGTAAGGGTAATCGTCTTCTATCCGCTCTACATTAAGAGGTTCATACGCCATTTCTTTATTCTGAATGTGGCCTGCTACTGGCTGCTCTACAACATGCTCTTGTCCGCCGTATTCGGTTTCTACTGCCTCGTTTGGCAAATATGTCGCAGCCAGAAACTGATAAACGATCGGATGACCAAACTTTTGACCAAGTCCAGGATAAGGAATCGTTCCAGTAAGATGAGAAGGTGCCTAAAACTCTATTCGAAGCTTCTGGGCCTGTGCAACAGCTTAAACTACGAGTTTGGCCACATTTCCATCTGTGTCCTGGCCTGCAAAAGCTGGTTTCAGATCACCTACGGCTACGAGATATTCATAATGATAGCAGCCCCCAGAGCCATCGACTTGAGCCTACCCCTGAGGATGTTTGTGGTGCTGACATATGTCCTGGACGCAGTTAATCTATACTTTGCCACCGATGTGGCCGAATTGTTCACCCGCCTGAGGGAGGACTCCTTGTGCATCCTGCGGGAAAGTAACCGTTTGGATCCTTTGGTAAGTTTTTGGTTTCTTTTCAAGAATTCCTCCTAAATTCTGTCTTAATTTAACAAACTATGTACCCTTCTAAACGACTTTTCTATTCCTATTCAGCTCTCCATGTTCACCTTGAAACTGGCTCTGCACCGAAAGCGGGTCGTCTTTCTAAACGCTGTTTCCTTTGACCGAAAGCTGACTCTCACCCTCATGGCCAAGACGTTGTTGTACACAGTCTGTTGGCTGCAAGGCGATTACAAGAAACTCGTGCACTAGATGGTCCCATTCAATAGCCACACAGTCCTGTCAAAAATCTAGACTTATTCACACGGCTTCTCCCTATTATGGAGAGCTTATTAAGGAACATACAAAGGGCCACGTTGGGAAGAGTTTGTCTGGACCATAAACCATAGAACATGCACAAATTGAACCAGCACATACGCTCACAAATATTTTTACAGCAAATATTGGCAAAACATATATATTTGATTTTAAACATCCAAATATAAAAACCACAAACCTGGGAGTTGTGTGCGATGATGGGATGTTGAATGAGGAATGGTTCAATTTCCATGGCGAGATTGAATTGAAAAACTGGGTTTCTAAAAATTAGAACGAAGTAATATACCCTTGCCCACAGTGATGGCTATATCTTCCCCAATTCTCATCCGATTCTCAAGCGGAGTACCTTAATCGATTTCTGGATCGATTCGCCACCATTCTGCATCAAAATCCTGAGAAAAAATATTTTTTAAATTTTTTGTCCATTTTTCGTGAGGGGATCCCTTGAAAATGTGGTTTTCCCCTATAGGGCCCACAGTGATGGCTATATCTTCCCCAATTCTCATCCGATTCTCAAGCGGAGTACCTTAAACGATTTCTGGACCGATTTGCCACCATTCAGCATCAAAATCCTGAGACAAAATATTTTTTAGATTTTTTGTCCATTTTTCGTGAGGGGATCCCTTGAAAATGTGGTTTTCCCCTATAGGGCCGACAGTGATGGCTATATCTTCCCCAATTCTCATCCGATTCTCAAGCGGAGTACCTTAAACGATTTCTAGATCGATTGGCCACCATTCTGCATCAAAATCCTGAGACAAAATATTTTTTACATTTTTTGTCCATTTTTCGTGAGGGGATCCCTTGAAAATGTGATTTTCCCCTATTGGGCCAACAGTGATGGCTATATCTTCCTCAATTCTCATCCGATTCTCAAGCGGAGTATCTTAATCGATTTCTAGATCGATTTGCCACCATTCTGCATCAAAACCCTGAGACAAAATATTTTTTACATTTTTTGTCCATTTTTCGTGAGGGGATCCCTTGAAAATGTGGTTTTCCCCTATAGGGCCGACAGTGATGGCTATATCTTCCCCAATTCTCATCCGATTCTCAAGCGGAGTACCTTAATCGATTTCTAGATCGATTTGCCACCATTCTGCATCAAAACCCTGAGACAAAATATTTTTACATTTTTTGTCCATTTTTCGTGAGGGGATCCCTTGAAAATGTGGTTTTCCCCTATAGGGCCGACAGTGATGGCTATATCTTCCCCAATTCTCATCCGATTCTCAAGCGGAGTACCTTAAACGATTTCTAGATCGATTGGCCACCATTCTGCATCAAAATCCTGAGACAAAATATTTTTTACATTTTTTGTCCATTTTTCGTGAGGGGATCCCTTGAAAATGTGATTTTCCCCTATTGGGCCAACAGTGATGGCTATATCTTCCTCAATTCTCATCCGATTCTCAAGCGGAGTATCTTAATCGATTTCTAGATCGATTTGCCACCATTCTGCATCAAAACCCTGAGACAAAATATTTTTTACATTTTTTGTCCATTTTTCGTGAGGGGATCCCTTGAAAATGTGGTTTTCCCCTATAGGGCCGACAGTGATGGCTATATCTTCCCCAATTCTCATCCGATTCTCAAGCGGAGTACCTTAATCGATTTCTAGATCGATTTGCCACCATTCTGCATCAAAACCCTGAGACAAAATATTTTTTACATTTTTTGTCCATTTTTCGTGAGGGGATCCCTTGAAAATGTGGTTTTCCCCTATAGGGCCGACAGTGATGGCTATATCTTCCCCAATTCTCATCCGATTCTCAAGCGGAGTACCTTAAACGATTTCTAGATCGATTGGCCACCATTCTGCATCAAAATCCTGAGACGAAATATTTTTTCGATTTTTTGTCCATTTTTCTGAGGAGATACCGTGAAAATGGGGTTTTCCCCTATAGGGCCCACAGTGATGGCTATATCTTCCCCAATTCTCATCCGATTCTCAAGCGGAGTACCTTAATCGATTTCTAGATCGATTTGCCACAATTCTGCATCAAAATCCTGAGACAAAATATTTTTTACATTTTTTGTCCATTTTTCGTGAGGGGATCCCTTGAAAATGTGGTTTTCCCCTATAGGGCCCACAGTGATGGCTATATCTGCCCCAATTCTCATCCAATTCTCAAGCGGAGTACCTTAATCGATTTCTAGATCGATTTGCCACCATTCTGCATCAAAATCCCGAGACAAAATATTTTTTAAATTTTTTGTCCATTTTTCGTGAGGGGATCCCTTGAAATTGGGATTTTCCCCTATAGGGTCCACAATGATGGCTATATCTTCCCTAATTCTCATTCGATTCTATATCTATTCTATCTGATGGCTATATCTTTCCCAATCCTTCTAAGTCTGAAACATTTTCTTAGACTGAAACCCAGAAACCAGTCATCTACAGGGTATTTGTTGTCGCCATTTGACACCGACAATGGCCTCCCTGCTCCGACTGTTTGCTTGGGCGGAATTGTGTACATGTTTCCAAAGTAAATTTTAATTTGATTTGCCAAGGATAAAGGATGAATGCGGCTGGTGAGTGAGGTTGCAGGTTGCGGTGTGACAATTGTGGAGCAAATAAATATGAGAAATGAAAACCGAATGGGAGGATGGGCTGGGAGCGAAATCAAAGAATAAACAAAACTTACGTGTGGAAACCAATTAGCTAACTTGTAGTTACGAATTCTGGCTAAGCGGCTACTGATGTTGCTGTTGTGGCTGCTACTCGTTGATGCTTCGTTGTTGTTGTTGTCATTGTTGTTTCTGATGTTGCTGCTACAGCTGGGTACCGCTTGGTCTAGACCGCCGAGGTTGCTGCTGCTCATTGTTTAGGACTTACAGGAGATATATAGATACAGAATACCGTGCTAGGAACACATACACATGGACACAGATACACACAGGTGAGGACACAGTCGCATAAATGCATTTGCAAGGAACACTTATAGATCTACAAAAAAATATACACAACAGCAAGGAAAGCTCCCAGAAAGGATTGTTGATGTGTTGAGGTTTGGTCAGGCTTGGCTTGCTTTACCTGGAAATGGTGTTAGTGGTAGCAATAGTTCAAGTAGCAGTAATAGGACTTTCTTTTTCTCTAAATGCTTCTTCGTGGCTTAGGGTAAGTTTATACGTATAGCTTGAATATGGTCATGGCACAGTCTACAGATTACACGTTCAGTTACACTTTACACTTTATATATAGTATGTATATAATATATTACGAGAATTGACAGCAAAAATCGAGTTGGGTTTTGCCTCCTCCGGTTGACTTAGGTCTCTAGTTTAAAGCTTTTACCAAGTTTGTTCCATTCTGGTCATATGTACACTTATGCTATACTTCTTAGGTATATAAATTCTAGGTTTAGTTATCCGTATTCCTCTTCTTTTATCGCTCTGAAGGTAGCAGCTTGTTGGTCCGCTCAGTTGGATTAAGTATATGGTTTGTTGTGTCCTGATGTTTAATCAGTTGGTAAGGTTGCTTGGTCAGTTGTTGGTCTGTCAATACTTAAATATTTAAAGCTGGTTTACATGGACTCCGCCTGATGATATTTATTGTTTCGTCCTTGGTCCTTGGTCCTGCAGAAAGAGAAATGGATGCTGTTGGGAAGAAGGAGGAGGAAAGGACGAAAAAAAACTATCGACTCAAGTGTGCCCGTCGACTGCCTCGTCCCGGGAGAGACTGAAACATTTGCTTGCCAAACGAAATTATGGCCATGATATTTTGCAAATAATAAATGGAGGAGAAAAGGATGCGAAAAAGAGATGGCCAAGAAAAAGACATCGGCTCAAGTGGCCGCTGGTCCGGGTCCGGCTCTGGCTCTTGGTTTTTTGGTCCGGAACACCCGTCGAGCAAGGAGTCACCATCTCTGGGCCATTTCTTAAGTTCAAATGCGTGCCAGGCAGCAATTTTGCTGTCTTTTGTGCCACTTAGTCCCGGCCACTCGCCATTTGCACTTGTCTGTGGCTCTGGCTCTGGTTCTGGTTCTGGTTCTGCTTCCAATTTAATTCCCCAGGATTCTTATTAAATTTAATAGTTAAGTCCTGGCTGAAACCCTGCTGGTAGCGGCTGGTCGTTGATCCGATATGATACCCATGTATGATTATACATAAAATATTAATTAATAATTAGTTTATTTCCACCGAAATCCCAAACAGACTAATCTCCTACAAACGACCTGGGATACAGCTCCGCCTAAATATAGACACCATCCACCCACCTGACCAAAGAAAATCAATAATCACCCATACGCCCCGTGGGCCAGTGGGTTCTGGAAGGTTGAAAGAGGTGGAGGTAACAAAATTTCTTCGATTATTAGTTTTGTTGCAGTTGCAAGTGACAAAACGCGACATAAAGTCACCTCGCACACATGCAACATGAGACTTGGCGTTGTCCCCACTTCCGAAATTGAATTTATGACCCACAGCCACCCACTCGTAACAGCTGCTGCCTCGACAGTTTACACATTTCGTATACGAGAAACTTTTCGGCTGAAGTAACTATCCACCTCCGCCCCAGCACTCCCCTAAAAAAACCAAACCAAAAACCATGCCAAGGAACTTTTCACATCAGCCCTGAGCGTATAAGTTTATCTCGGGGCTTTGGCTCTTCGCATCAGGCAGCTATCTACGATTTTTTATGCCAAAAGTTCAAAGCAATTTTTAAAGATCAAAATGCCAAACGGAGACAAGGGCTAAGGACATGCAACCGAAGGATGCTCGAGTGGATACTCGGTTGGAAGCCGCCAGGGAGCACTGGACCAATACCAATGCCGTTGGCGAGAAACCACAGAGAAATCATTTCATTTCAATTTATTTTTCGATTCCCATTGTTTTCACTTGTAGTTAGTAAACATTTTTGTTGTCCCTCCTAGCCTTAAATCGGATTTTCTTCGATTTTGTCTTGCCGTGTTGGCATTTTCACACCATTCGGCCTTTGAATTGGTTATTTTCGAACAGAGGACCCAAATTACACAACATTATTTTTCCAAATTACTGGTATTTGTCCACATGGCATCCGAGGTTTCTCGATGTGTGGCTGTGAGTAATTACAGTCTGGATTTCTTTTTCAAAAAGTTGTAAGGAAATAAGTAAATCAAAAATTCCATTGAAGCATTTCTAATTGGATCAATGGCAGTGTGGATTATATTGCAAAGTTTTTGGCTTCAAATTCAATTATAATTTGGAGGAGCCCTGCTTAAAGCAAGTTTCCCGCGAACAAATCCCAGAGCTTACTTGGCTTTTGGGTCATAAATTGTGACACTATTTTCAGGAAAGCAAAAAACTTAAGCCCATTAATCACAAGCCTGTGGCCTCTTGACACAAAATGGCGCAGATACCGGAGGGATCTCAGCTCTCAGGAGGTATAGCACGAAATGTGCTCTTTAATTAGTTTAATTTTTAAAAATTAAAACCACAATAGCCATAAATACACAAACGCGTTCTCGCCACTTTCAAGCTGTGGGGCAATTATGAGAAATCTTGCCAAAGTGAAAACTATACTGCGTGGGTGTTTGTCAGCGGAAATTTATGCTCCAGGGTCAGGACCTCTCGGTGGCCGAAAAGGAATGGCAACGTGAAAAGGAGAATGGGCGCCACTTACTTTAATTGCTGGCACGTTGCCGGGCTCCTGTCCTCTCCGCCTGTGGCCCAAATACACAAAGGAGCTGCTCTGCGGCTTTGCGTGTAATTAAAGCACCGAGCCATGCCACACGCCACACTGCATCCCCTGCAACAATGCGTCGTCTGGTGTGGCAAGTTTAGTGCTTGCATTTTTCTCTGGCATTTCACGCCTTTGGTTACCAAGTTTTCGGCACTCAATTGAGCACATTAACTGACAGAACGAGGCCCCGAAAAAAAGACGTTATTGGTTGCCCTTTCGGGCCTTTCCCTTTCATCCGTCCAGCCATCCTTTCAGCTGCTACGTGATTCATAATTGGCCAGAACCAGCACCGGACCAGAGTGCAGGCTTCAGTTTAGTTACTTTTATGTCAGTTTCCCCCACCGTACGGGCGTGGTAAATGGAAAGCTTATGAATGTTTAAACAACTTTCAATTGCGAGCGAAAAGTTTTCAATTTTCGTCGTAACTTTTTCTCGCTTGCCATGGCAATGCATTAACCAACTTTAATTAATATACTATAGTACATAGTATGTTCGGGCGGGGTGGCACAGGAATATCGATACTATTGCCAGCTTGTCGGAAAGTTTTCACTTAAATGGATCCCCGGGCGCAACAAGTTTTTCGATTGTTCTACATCAGCGCCCACGTGACGTATACGCAACTTTTGTTGCGACCTTCTGGGGGAAGGGATGAGTTGTCTAATTTAAATACAGAATTTCAGCTTAACTGCATAAGAACTCTATGGCCAATGGAATCCCAAGTGGTTTACGATTACAGATGACTGTCTAACCCAAATACTTTGACGGCGGCACTTGGCTGCTACATCGTGTGCACACTTTGCATACGTTTGTCAAATCCAATCGAAACCCATTTCGCCAGGACATTGCCAGCAACGAATCCTGCTGAAATTCAAGACTCCTCCGGAATATCTAACGAATCGAACCGAAACAGTGCAGAGGCAACCAGCTGTATGTCCTGGCTGCAGCTCGGCGATTAGCAAACAAGATGGTGTGGAGCAAAGTGCGACTTGTTCCCCCAAAATAGGGTACGGATGGGTGGTGATACATAGGGGGGGAATGGCTCACATAAAAATGCAATGCGTTGCCTGGCAACGGTAAAAATGTGTCACTGGAGATGCAGGGATATGAGTACACTGAGCGAAAAATGACTTAATCGAACACGAGGGTCGGCTATAGATGGGCTTTTTAAAGAGGTCTTTTATGAAAGTATTTTATTCACAAGTATTCACTATGGCTTCTTTTAGCGGATTATTTATTAATATATGAAACCGTGTTAACTAGTATAAAATATCTCCCAGTGTATAAATGCTTGGGAGGGAAAAAGGGCACTGCCACAGCCCAGGGAGCACCGTCGCAACGTTAGTTGGGAAAACGCAAAATGACTTTAAATTGAGAAATCGCTTTGAGGGCCCTCCCTTCGGTTCGTTGTCGCTACGTGCCACTTGAATGGTCCTCTTAGGGCACCGAGAGGCGGCAGGGGGGGGATCAAAATGAAGTTATGCAGTATTTTCATTGATTTCCTCGGAACAGGCCAATGAAGGGGGCAGCCCAGAGACACCGAGAGAAAAGTGTTGTCAAAGTCGATCAGGTACTTACGGAAATTAAAGGAGTCGTGCGGGGAGATGGGTTCTGGGACTACTCGACACCTGCAACATGAGGCCTGAGCTCCAGGCACGCTGTCTAGTTGACGTACTTGATGCTCTTGACATCGCTGGCGCAAATGAGTTGGCTAATGTGACAGGCAGCGAAGGCCAAAATGTTTGGACAAAAGCCCAAAAGTGTGAGGAGTGTGTGTGAGTGGCCCTGACAGGTATGTATGAGCGGGTTTTATGGCTGATTTGGTTGCTGGCAAATGCATTCGTGCCCCACAACACATCAGCAGCAAATGCGACCTCTCTACATTACTCATACGCCCCACACGCCCCATAAACAATTTAAAGGCGCACATTAAAGACCTCCGCGACCTGCGCCCGTAAAACCATTCAGTTCATTAAATATTGAACACGAATTTATGACCGACTGGAACATATACACAAAAAGAGAAAGAGATAGAGAAGGATAGTTAGAAAGAGAGGGAAAGTGAATTGCAATTTGAATGTTGTCCTTTGAATTCATTGAGTTCTCCTATTCCCTTGTGAAAACCGGAAAAAATATGCTTCGCCCGCTCATTATTATTTCGAAAATTTGAATTTTCTGGCATGCATAAAAAATGAACTGGAAGAGAGGCAGATCTCCTCCGTAAGGCAGTTTATTAATAAAATATTTATATGCCCGGGATGCTTCACA